CTAGGAGGTGTCCAGGAGGTGTCTAGGAGGTGTCCAGGAGGTGTCTAGGAGGTGTCCAGGAGGTGTCTAGGAGGTGTCCAGGAGGTGTCTAGGAGGTGTCCAGTAGGTGGCTCGCGCCTCCTCCGACCTTCCGCCGCAGAGACCGCGCTTCGGGTCGTACATCGCGTCTCTGCTCGCGCACGACACCTGATCGATTAAAATTCATCAATTAAGTAATTAGTGAAGCCTCTGCTCGCGCACGACACCTGATTGCAGCTCCAGTCAACGCCAGGTGTCCGCCTCGGCTGATCTCGGGAGAGCGAGTCTCTCAGCTAGTGCGGGAGAGAGGGGGCGGTGAGAGGGAGAGGGAGATGGAGAGGGAGAGGGAGAGGGAGGGAGAGAGAGAGAGAGAGAGAGAGAGAGAGAGCCTCTCCGCTGGCACGCGCCACACACCTGCCGCGCGTTGTAGGGCGACGCGGCGAAGGGCTCGACGTTCGAAGCCTAGAAGGGACGTGGCATGGACGTGTCATGCACAGGGACGAGCCCTCTGTCAAAGAAGAAGACGCGAGGCGTGAGCGGAGGACGTGTCACGCTACTCTTCCAGGCTTCCAGCAGTCTCTACTAGTCTCTATACGGCAGCGTCCCCGCCTTGTCGTCGAAGAAGAAGACGCGGTCGTCGGCGATGTCGACCACGCGGCGGCCTAGACGCTTCTCGGACACGTCGAAGACACTTCCTAGACACTCTTCGGAGGGGTCGACCACGCGGCGGCCCCGGGCCCCGGAGCGGTACCAGTCGAGGATCTCGACGATCTCGTCCTGCTTGCTCCCCTCGGGCACGTTGACCCGCAGCGGCGAGCTCGGGTGCGCGTCACTCCACGGCGGGTGCGGGTCGGTCCTCCCTTCGCCGAAGCCCAGCAGGCCGACCGCGCGGAGCTTCTGGACGATGGTGTACCTCTCGGACGAGCCGCTGCCGGAGACGGGCCCCGAGGAGATGACGCCCATGTAGCACGCGGCGCAGAAGGTGGTGTGCAGGTTGAGGGAGAGCTGCGAAAGGGAGAGCGTCCCGCCGCCGTAGGCGGTGTCGACCACACCCGTCATGTGCCTGTTGTCTGGACATGGCGCGCCGGCGCCCACAGAGGAGCCCTGCTCGCCGGTTAAGGTGCGGTCCACGTCCCACACGCACAGACAGGCGGAGTTGTCGTGCTTCAGATGGCCGGCCGCAACCATGGCGGCCATGTCGGGAGCGGCGTGGCCCGGATCGACGGCGGTCGACGAAGTCATCTGGACGGTGACGGGCCGCGCGGCGGCGAGGAGGAGCTGCCGCGCCAGCCAGGGGCCGGCGAGGAGACGCCGCATGCCGGAGCTGCTCCGTGGTGTTCAGAGCAGTCACCTAACGGCGAGCAGTAAGGCGCTGTCCCTGAAAAAGAATTCGGCGCCGACTAGGCGCACGGAGAGGTGACGAGTGAACTGCAGGTAGTGGGGAAGGCAGCTTCGATTGCCATACAGACATGGGTCGGGCAGCGAGCAACAAGCACAGCGCTGTGCTATCGCCCTTCACTCTCAGCAAAGGGGTCCCAGGCCCAAGACGCACAAGTGCAGACACACAAAAGTGTGAGTAGTGTGTGTGTGTGTGTGTGTGTATCGCGCGCCTTGCGGGGGGGGGGGCGCGGAAAAGAGGAACCTCTTAGCGCCATCGCCATGGTGCTGCAATATGCGCTGGCGTGTTGCCGCCCGCATCCGCAGCCGTCAGCGCCTCTCGCCCGCAAAGCTCGAAGAGGAAGCGGAGCGCGTCGACATGGCCATTAACAGCGGCCTCGTGCGCTGGCGTGGCGCCCTTCGCATCCGCAGCCGTCAGCGCCTCGCTGCCGCACTGCTTGGCGAGGAAGCGGAGAGCGTCGACCTGGCCTTTGGTAGCGGCGCGGTGCGCTGGCGTCTCGCCGTCCGCAGCCGCAGCAGTCAGCACCTCTCGCCCGCACTGCTCGACGAGGAAGCGGAGCGCGTCGGCATTGCCATTGGAAGCGGCGAGGTGCGCTGGCGTCCAGCCGTCCGCAGCCGCAGCAGTCAGCACCTCTCGCCCGCACTGCTCGAAGAGGAAGCCGAGCGCGTCGACATGGCCATTGAAAGCGGCCCTGTGCGCTGGCGTGCCGCCGTCCGCAGCCGCAGCCATCAGCACCTCTCGCCCGCACTGCTCGACGAGGAAGCGGAGCACGTCGACCTGGCCATTGAAAGCGGCCCTGTGCGCTGGCGTGCCGCCGTCCGCAGCCGCAGCCGTCAGCACCTCTCGCCCGCACTGCTCGGCGAGGAAGCGAAGCGCGTCGACCTGGCCGCTGTCTGCGGCCCAGTGCACTGGCGTCCAGCCGTCCGCATCCGCAGCCGTCAGCACCTCTCGCCCGCACTGCTCGAAGAGGAAGCGGAGCACGTCGACCTGGCCATTGGAAGCGGCCCTGTGCGCTGGCGTGCCGCCGTCCGCAGCCGCAGCCGTCAGCACCTCTCGCCCGCACTGCTCGGCGAGGAAGCGGAGAGCGTCGACCTGGCCTTTGGTAGCGGCGCGGTGCGCTGGCGTCTCGCCGTCCGCAGCCGCAGCAGTCAGCACCTCTCGCCCGCACTGCTCGACGAGGAAGCGGAGCGCGTCGGCATTGCCATTGGAAGCGGCGAGGTGCGCTGGCGTCCAGCCGTCCGCAGCCGCAGCAGTCAGCACCTCTCGCCCGCACTGCTCGAAGAGGAAGCCGAGCGCGTCGACATGGCCATTGTAAGCGGCGAGGTGCGGTGGCGTCCAGCCGTCCGCACCCGCAGCCATCAGCACCTCTCGCCCGCACTGCTCGACGAGGAAGCGGAGCACGTCGACCTGGCCTTTGGTAGCGGCGCGGTGCGCTGGCGTCTCGCCGTCCGCAGCCGCAGCAGTCAGCACCTCTCGCCCGCACTGCTCGACGAGGAAGCCGAGCGCGTCGACCTGGCCATTGTAAGCGGCCCTGTGCGCTGGCGTGCCGCCGTCCGCATCCGCAGCCATCAGCACCTCTCGCCCGCACTGCTCGACGAGGAAGCGGAGCGCGTCGACTTGGCCTTTGGTAGCGGCGCGGTGCGCTGGCGTCTCGCCGTCCGCAGCCGCAGCAGTCAGCACCTCTCGCCCGCACTGCTCGACGAGGAAGCCGAGCGCGTCGACCTGGCCATTGTAAGCGGCCCTGTGCGCTGGCGTGCCGCCGTCCGCATCCGCAGCCATCAGCACCTCTCGCCCGCACTGCTCGACGAGGAAGCGGAGCGCGTCGACCTGGCCTTTGGTAGCGGCGCGGTGCGCTGGCGTCTCGCCGTCCGCAGCCGCAGCAGTCAGCACCTCTCGCCCGCACTGCTCGACGAGGAAGCGGAGCGCGTCGACCTGGCCTTTGGTAGCGGCGCGGTGCGCTGGCGTCTCGCCGTCCGCAGCCGCAGCAGTCAGCACCTCTCGCCCGCACTGCTCGACGAGGAAGCCGAGCGAGTCGACCTGGCCATTGTAAGCGGCCCTGTGCGCTGGCGTGCCGCCGTCCGCATCCGCAGCCATCAGCACCTCTCGCCCGCACTGCTCGACGAGGAAGCGGAGCGCGTCGACCTGGCCTTTGGTAGCGGCGCGGTGCGCTGGCGTCTCGCCGTCCGCAGCCGCAGCAGTCAGCACCTCTCGCCCGCACTGCTCGACGAGGAAGCGGAGCGCGTCGGCATTGCCATTGGAAGCGGCGAGGTGCGCTGGCGTCCAGCCGTCCGCAGCCGCAGCAGTCAGCACCTCTCGCCCGCACTGCTCGAAGAGGAAGCCGAGCGCGTCGACATGGCCATTGTAAGCGGCGAGGTGCGGTGGCGTCCAGCCGTCCGCACCCGCAGCCATCAGCACCTCTCGCCCGCACTGCTCGACGAGGAAGCGGAGCGAGTCGACCTGGCCATTGGCAGCGGCGAGGTGCGCTGGCGTGCTGCCCCCGTAGTTCGGGCACCCGTAGTTCGGGCACTTCGTGTGGTGAAGGCCTCTGTGAGGAGCCACACACCCGGGAAGGCAGCTGTTGGGTCGTGGCCATGTCGACATTGCAGCCGGCTGCCTCGCTCCTCGCAGGGGACGTCCGTCGCGGCATGGGACGTCCGCCGGCCGCGAGCGACGCAAAACAAGCTCTTTTATCTGCGGCCCCACCCGACGGCCACGTCGCCCTCCTCCGCTTGCCCACGATCGTGTGATGGTTGCTGAGAAGCCCAAGAAGGCCAAGGAGCTCCGTCGCCACCTCCACACTGATGCTGATGCGACTGGGGCCGGCGAGGCGGCGAGCGCTGCGCCCGGCCGCCTGAACCGCGAGCCGGTCCTCTGTGACGTGAACGCGCCGCCGCCAAAGTGGGCGAGGCCGCTGCGCGCCGACCGCTCTGCGATTCTGTCGCCGGCGCCCGCCGTCGCGCTCGAGATGGGCGTCGCCCGCGCCTCCGACATGCTGCGAGCAAAGCTCGACGAGCTTTGCCGCGCGTCGCGGCTCCCACGGCCCGTCCGGCCGCTCACCTTTGAGCGCTGGCGCTGGGCGGCCAAGTGGGAGGAGGATGGCCTCCTTCCAAAGAGCGCCGGCCACCCGGTGCTGCCCGGCGCGGCGCCTCTGCTCAAGCCCAGCAAGGAGAACAAGGCGGGCGGTGGGCCGGTCGCCGGCGGCGCCGCGGGCGCGGGCGCGGGCGCCGCGACGGGCGGCAAGGACGCGGCGGCCGCCCTCGCCGAGGACCTGATGATGCAGGGCCTGATGCTCTCCGACGCGCGCGCGATCGCGCTGGAGCTCAAGGCCGAGGCGGCGACGCTCGCCAAGAAGCGGGCAAAGGAGCGGCAGCAGGCGGCGTCGGGTAAGGCGGCGTCGCTGCCGCCGCTGGACATCGAGGTGCACCGCCACTCGGTGGACCTGCGCTGCGGCCGCCACTTCGTCAAGGTTGGCCACGCACCGTACGCCAAGCTCTAATTAATTAACGAATTAACGATTAAGTAACTATTAATTAAGGTTGGCCACGCACCGTACGCCAAGCTCGCACTCCTCCACCGCCGTGCGATGCCGGCGGAGGGCGCGCCGGAGGCAGAGGCGGAGGCAGCGGTTGAGGCGCCGGCCTGGTGGAGCAGAGGTGTGAACAGCGTCTCTTCACACCTGCAGCTGTGAATAGGCGGCCGCGGTTGAGGCGCCGGCCTGGTGGTCCACCGAGGGATCGCCCGGAGGCGCGGAGATCGAGGCGGAGGTCGCCGGCGCGCGGCTGTCTGCCCAGGCGTCGGAGGCGACGCCCGACCCGCGCGCGGCCTTCCACCAGCGGCTCTTTGCGCTGCTGCTGCGGTGCGGACGCCGCGCGGGCGCGGCTTGCACACGGCTCGCCCGCTCCACGCCCGCGCCCCGCTCCCGGAATAGGTACAAGACGCTGCGCGGACACGGCTTCCACGCCGCCATCGCGCCGGCGGTGTGGCGCGTGCTCACCTCGAGGCTTGGGGTGGGGTTCGAGGCCTTCGCCTCGCCACTCAACTGCTACCTGCCCACGTTCGGCTCCGGCTTTTCGGACGTCGACGGCGCGTTCGGGAGCAGCGGCTCCTTCTTCCGCCTCAAGCCGGCGCAGCTCGCCTCGGGCTCCTGCGCGTGCAACCCGCCCTTTGTGCGCCGCCTCCCCGCCCGAGGTCGCGTCGCCGGGATGACCGCGAGAGCGTGACACGGTTGCGACCTAGGTGCACGCCCTCCTCCTCTTCCTCAGGTGTGAACAGCGCCTCTTCACGCCTCCGGCTGTGAGCAGGTGCACGCCATCCTCGACGCCGCCGCCGCGCGCGTCGAGGAGCTGCTCGCCGCGGCTGCCGCCGCCGACGCCCCCCTCTCCTTCGCCTTCGTCATGCCGGGCTGGAAGGAGACGCGCGCGCACGCCAGCCTCTCCGCCTCGCCCTTCCTGCGGAGGGCGGTCCTCGTCGCCGCCGCAGACCACGGATTCTGCGACGGCGCGTCGCGCCGGCCCAGGCCCGCCGCGCGGTGAGCCGCCCCCGAAACTTCTCGGAACCTTCCCCGGTAGGCGCGTCGCACCAGCGGGCCGACCCGCTGCGTGCGTCGCCGTACGACACCGTCGTCTTTGTGCTGCAGACGGAGCGCGGCTCTCGCAAGTGGCCCGCGGATGGGCGGTTCGAGGCGGAGCTGCGCGCCGCCTTTGCGGCGAGTGTGCCGCTTTCGTCTGCGGCGGAGCGGCAGGAGCGCAAGCGCAAGACGCCGCGCCGCGAGCCAAAGGCGAAGCGAGCCGGCGGCGGCAAGCCGACCGAGGCGGAGGCCGACTCCGACGAGGGCGAGGGGGGCGGCGGCGGCGGCGGCGGCGGAGCGGCGCCGTCGGAGGAGCTCCTCGCGGAGCTCGCGCCGCGGCTGGACGCGTGGGTGGCGGCCAAGCGGTCAAAGGACTTTGCCACCGCCGACAAGATCCGGGACGAGCTCAAGGCGGCGGGCGTGATCGCCGACAAGGCGAGGCCGGTGCCGCGCAAGGCGATCGAGAAGCGGGCGGCGAGCAAGGGGGCGGACGACGAGAAGCGCCCGCCGAAGCGCGGGCGGGCGGAGTGAGGGCGCTGAGCCGGGAGAGGACGGTCGTATTGCGCGGCGGTGTGCCTGTGGCGCTAGTCCACTGACCTCATTATGTTTATGTTTTGCGTCTCGAGAGCACACAGTGAGAGTGCGCGTTCGTGTGCGAGTATAAGTGTTCTTCCTTCAGTCTTCTCACGAGTCTAAGCTCCGCGGAACCGCACCACTTGAGGCGAACTGCGGGTAAATAAATATTTTTGCACGGATGAACGCGAGCTCGTGGGGTCCACGAAAGCACCGCTTGGCGGTGTCAGAACCGCCCTCTTTGACCCTGGGGGGCCGAATCTGCGCCCTCTCGGCCCCGGCGGCGGTCCCAGAGAGGGCCGGCACGCGGGCTCCGCCGACGCTCTCGCAACGCGGGTCGCGCCGCGCGCCTCCCGGACGAAGCGTGTTGGTGCGCGACGGCGATCCTCGCCTGCGGGGAGCGGAGCACACGCGTCGGGATAGCGAGGGCAGCACAAATATTGCACTCACGTCCCAGTATGGCAGCAGCCGGACGGGTTGGGTGGCGTGAGGGCAGGGTGGTGAGGATGATTCCACAGATCTCGCTGGAAATGGCCGTGTCCTTCCCGGGGGAGGCAGGCGAGCACGCACCTCGCGTCCGAGCGCGAGTCGATGAGTGGTCGCCGAGAGATCGCCGAACCACGTTTCGAGTGCGCGCGCACACAGCACAGCTGCGGGTTGTAACTCGACTGCCGATCGCGCGTGCGGGATGTAAATGCAGCTCGCTGGCGCCAGTGCACGGTGGCAGGGACTGGAGGCTCGGCCGGAGGGGAAGAGCAGTCCTCAATCGTCACGTGGAGGTCGCTGGGCTGGATCCATCGAACTGCCACACACCTGGAGCAGAGGCACATCAGGTCTTGCGGCACACTCTCCGACAGATGCATGCCTTTTGAGCGAGCCCACGCGCCTCCACCGTCGCGTAGTATGCCAGCGGCACGCCGGTACGCCGACGAGTCGTGCGCGCTCGGCAGTAATCGGCGTTGAGACTGCCTAGCGCGCACATCGAGAGCGCCGAGTTGTGTTGCCGCGAGGAATCCTGCTCGAAGATGGGGTCCGAGCGGCGCCTGATCGCATGGGATGGATCAGTGGGGCTATCACGTGGGTACTAGGCCTACTCAGTCAGGAGTTGGCGAGTGTGTGGGAGATTCACGCCCGTCACTCAACGTCTGTTGAAAAACTGTTCGCTGAGCAAGCTCACGGTCGAGCGGGCTTGACGCGCGCTTCAGGATAGCAAGAGGCGTGCCCACTCCCCTGAGGAGCGTGCGGGCACGCCTGGGAATCGTTGTGGAGCGACCATGGACTGGGATGACAGCCGGCGAAGCACTGCGCCAAAACCATGGCGCCGAAAAGCGTCCGCCCTCAACGTGCTGGGAAGCTTCACGGCGGAGGCTGTGAAGTCGCGGCACAACCTGAGCGCACGCACACACACCCCGTTCTGGCCATCTTGCGCTTTCCCACCACAAAATCGCCTCCATTTTGCGCGCCTCCGGTGGCAACAAAAACAACTCTAACACTCACACGTCTCTCCGGTGGCAGGTCTAGCCGGGCCCGGTTGATGATACTTTTGATGTTTGCGCGCCGGATCTCGACTCCGCCGTGCTGCGGTGCGTCCCAAAGCAAAACTTGTGGCAGAGGGGCCAGATTGGCCGATTATAACGACGAGACAGCGTCTGAAGGCTATTTTGCGGCGACACCGATACGCAGTTGAGGGCCCACGGTTGTGGCTAGTGGAGGGTGCTGTACAATCCGAGGGCGTTCCCATGGCCTCACGGGCCCGGGCGACGATCGTGGCTAGAAAAATCAAAAAGTATCATCCGTGGGGGCGAGATTTTTAACTGAGGTCAAATTCTGGCATCAGCTCGGGCATCTGCCTCTGCCCCCTCGCCGCATCGACGAGCGCGCTCGTGTCAGCTCGCAGCTCTCCTGGTGCCGCTGCTTGGCCGCCGCGCTCGCACTCGCTCCGCTCGATGCCATCGTGAGGCTGCAACGGTCTGCGAGCTCCTTTCGCCCAGCGGGTCCACCACAGAGTTCTCCCAGTCATGTGCCCAAATGCGCCCGCCGTTTTTCGTCATACCCCCCCCCCTGGAAACCCGCCGACTTTGATTGGGTCCGGTTCAACCTCACTCTCATCTTTATACTTACAGATACAAAACGTCAGATCTGCGCCACCCAGGGCTGGACCTAGTCTACACAGAACGGCCCCAAATCGGCCCGGAACCGACCCGTGGGCCCGTCTGCCGCACCCAGCTCCGCCGGGAGGGGCGCGTGCCGTTCCCCGCGGGTCGGGCGGGCCACGCAGACACGGCGGGAGAGCTTCCCGTGCCCTGTGAGTGCCGTCACACCGCCTCAAATAGGTCCCAAAGTGGGGTTTGCCTCAAGTGCCGCACGAGCGCGACTTCGGACTCCTGTCACACGATATTTTTCGATAACCTCGGGGCCGTGGCGGTTTAGCGCTCCACCTTTTCCCCCGCCCAAACGCCCAAAGCGGAAAGGCCAAACCGCAATCTGCCCGGTCCGCGGGCCCGGCGCGCTCGTCTCACTGCTGCGGACCCCTCATGCCTCAAGAGTCGCAAGTGTCGCATCCCTCGATCTTCTTGGGCAGCAGCTGGTTCGACAGGTCCTCTCCGTGGCCTAGGCAGCCGTCCTCGCCCTTGCCCCAGGTAAAGGCGGCGCCGTCGGCGGTGATGGCGAGGCTGTGGCTGCTTCCAGCCGAAACAACGGCGACGCGCTGGTCAGCAAAGCCTCGATCTTCTTTGGCTGCCGCTGGCCCTGCTCGTCGCCGTGGCCCAAGCGACCGGCTGCTCCGCGGCCCCAGCTCCAGAGGGCGCCGTCGGCGGTGATGGCGATGCTGTGAGACATTCTAGCCGAAACAGCGACGACGCGCTGGCCAGCCAAGGCCTCGACCTTCTTGGGCAGCAGCTGGTCCTGCACGTCGCCGTGGCCCAGCTTGCCACAGTCTCCATAGCCCCAGCTCCAGACAGAGCCGTCGGCGGTGATGGCGAGGCTGTGGTCGCTTCCCGCCGACACAGCGACGACGCGCCGCCCTTCCAGCGTCTCGACCTTCTTCGGCAGCAGCTGGCGCTGCTGATCGCCGTGGCCCAACCGGCCGTGGGCTCCAAAGCCCCAGGTAAAGACAGCCCCGTCGGCGGTGAGGGCGAGGTTGTGAGCATCTCCAGCCGAGACGGCGACGACGCGCTGGCCAGCAAAGGCCTCGATCTTCTTCGGCAGCAGCTGGCGCTGCCCGTCGCCGTGGCCCAACATGCCAATAATTCCACGGCCCCAGCTCCAGACGGCGCCATCGGCGGTGAGGGCGAGGCTGTGAGTGGCCCCAGCCGACACAGCGACGACGCGCTGGCCAGCCAAGGCCTCGATCTTCGTCGGCAGCAGCTGGTTCTGCTCGTCGCCGTGGCCCAAGCAACCGGCTACTCCGCGGCCACGGCTCCAGACAGCTCCGTCGGCGGTGAGGGCGAGGCTGTGGCGGCTTGCAGCCGACACGCTCACAGCGCGCTCGCCGCCCAGCGTCGACGGGAGGCGGGTCGGCGTGTTGAGCCGCGTCACGCCCTCGCCGTGCCCGAGCAGCCCTGGTTTGTACTCTGTGCCGCACGACGAGAGCCGCCCCTCGCCGTCGATGAAGACGCTGCTGTGCGTTTCGCCTGCCGCCGCCCTCGCCGGCGGGTTGGACTCGCGCAGCAGCGCGGCGAAGCACAGCCACCGCACGGCGCAGCCCTCGCCCTCGGGCTGCGCCGGCAGCTCGAAGCCGCGCTCTTGCGCCCACAAGCGGATGCCCTCCAGCGCAAGCGAGGCGTGGAAGAGGAGCGAGCGAGACGGCCGCGACGCGAGCGATGTCGGCAGGATCGCAGCGAGAGAGGGCGCGCGCGAGGAGCTCCGTGGGGAGGTCGAGGAGGTGGGTGGGCGGCGGCGTGTCTGGCGAGGGCGCGGCGGCGGAGGCGGCGGCGAGGCGGCGCGAGCGGCGGCGCGGCGATTTGGACATGCGAGGAAAAGAAATTTATCGCAAAAGAATTCTTAAATGCGACTAGCGCAGACTGATTTGCCAACATCATACAAAACCAAAGAATCAAAAACAAAGAAACCGCGGGTCGAGGAGGCGGGTTGGCGGCGGTGTGTCTGGCGAGGGCGCGGCGGTCGCTGCGGGGGCGAGGCGGCGCGAGCGGCGGCGCGGGGGGGGCGGGGCAGACATCGCGGGCAGGAGAAAT